TTCCACTAAGATTAATTTGTTAATAAATCATGTGTTTATTAGCAAATATTCGCGTATCAATTCACTCCATATGCTGAATATCACAGCTTTAACACATACTTTAATGAATTAGTAATTGCTGTTTTATAAAAACTATTTGCTGTGCTTTTATCCATATTGCTGTAATACGCGTTCAAAGTTGAAAAATTGAAATTAGAACGTTCGAAAAAGCAGTATTTTCACATTTCATTAAATTACTCCAGCAAGTATAGATACATTCCTGTGCTCTTATCCATATTGCTCCATTGCATCCATTTTTATGAAAGGGGAAGCGCCAAATGATTACATACTTTTGAGGGAGGCATACTAACTTCAAGGAAACCACTGATCTAAGGCGTGGCAATCAACTAAACCCTTTTTAAGGAGTGGCTTACGAATGGTGCACATTTGGTTGCCTAATAATTACTTGATTAATCCTTGCATGGAATCGACGCTTCCTTCGTGATTGTTGACCTCGCTCTTCGATGGTGGATCCCAGAAGTTCGCCTGTTGCGCTATAGCAGAGGAAGCGCTACCACTGGCTTCACTAATTTTTAGATTCTTGCAAATATTCGAAAATAACTGAAACAAAGCATATTGAAAACACACTAGTCTCAAAAGGAATATAAATGAAATACCTTGAAATGGTTCTGAGTATCATTCTCCAAATGCCTCTGCAACTCTGGCTCATCCTCAAATTTATGTGGACACCCGAAGCTGCCAAACAAGCAGTGCAACTTTTCGCTCTCCGGCAAATGACTTTCAGGTATCCTGAATTCGCAATTGAGCAAGTGCGTTTCCACGTCAAGCGGAGATAACTCCTGCAGACATCCCCTGACTATGTTCGGGCATTTGGTCCTCTGCTGAGAGATTTCCCTACGGGTGAAGTTATCTGGGAATATATCATCTCTGGTCAATTTCAGATTGTCCACTGGGCAGCAAGCGTTTTCTTTTCTACAAAAACGATTACAAATTGAATTCTTAGAAAGTTACATTAATTTCGGTGTTTACTTGAGCCAAAGGTCGATGCAGTTGCTGCAAAATCTGTGTCCGCAGGCGGTGACCACCGGGTCTCTCAGCCATGCCAAGCAGATGGGGCACTCGAATCGAGACTCCGGTGCTATGTCCAAGGCATCCGAGATGGAACTCTCCTCCGCAACTCCGTCGACTTTGCTCTGCTGATGTCCAACAACATTCCCAGCCATTGCTGCGCTCTGTGACCCCAAACTGAACTACCTGTTGTCTTGAGTCATCTTAACTTAAGTCACTATGGCGTCAGCGAATTTCTATGGAATCACCTGCCCAAGTAATTAGTATGCAATTAGCGACGCAACGGAGAAACTTGAAATTCTACGACAACCATTCCGACAATTAAGATTCCGATCTTTCATTCACAAAACAATAACAAACTTTCGATTCGTTCTGAACGCGAACCTTTTGAATAATCCAATCAATCCGATTTACAGGTGTTTAGTTAGGCAACCGATGATGCTTAGATTAAATGTGGATTTTCTTATTTCAAGTTTCTTTTATTTTATCAAACTATAGTAAAAATACATGTTAATTATATTAGAGAACGTATTGAAACGAATGATCACAACATTTATCACGGGGTTTGTAGAGATTATTAGACGATAGTTTTCCTATCGCAAAGCATCCTACTTTAATCGCGGGTTCAATTGGCGCGCAATCAACGACGCTCACCACTTTCCTGGGTGGCCTAATCCTAAACCTAATCTTATCGTCGGCCTCCTCGGGTTTCTCTTCGCAATCATCATTGGAATTCCTTAGGAACGTGCAATCTTCGAACACCTGACTTCGTGTATAGCAAAACTTCCTTTTACCGTAGGTACAGTTGATCCTTCGGCGCGCTTTCAACAGCGGCTTGTGCCAGTTTATCTCCTGATGTTCGCCTTCAAACGAATCAAACATAAATGATGTAATTTAAGTGAAGAATTATATATATTTACGTTCTTCGGCAATGTTGGGCCTCCACATCGGCACTAGAGCGCCGCCGAAAAGCTTGTAGAACTTCTCCGTCAGTTCGCGGTCAAAACTCTCTTTAATAACGACGTTGTAAGTGCTCTAAAAATGATCAATTAGTGAGATGATATTGCAGTTTGTATTATAATTTACTAGTAGAGCATCCGCGAGCTTTGGCTTCAATCCGGCTTTGTGTAGGAAAAAGTCGAGGTTTGGTTCGATGAGCAACTTTATGGAATCGATTCCCAATTCGTTGATGATCATCACCAACGGCACGGAAAAATCTTGCCTCATCTCCTCCATATTCGTGGCGATTTTGATGAAGACCATCTGATGGATTGCGTCCCTCTGGCAGAGGAGTCCCAACACTTTGCACATCGGTCTCATCACTGCCTCCGTCGTGATGGTTCGGAGAAGTCTTTGCATGAGGAGACGCACCAGCAGTTTCATCTGAAAAAAAAACGGTAGATAAGTTAAACATTCCGAATTCATCAATTAGATCAGTTGAATCACTTGTTTATCGGAGACGATTTCCATTGCGATCATATTGGATTCGAGCGCGACGACTAAATCCAAAGCGCGCAGCGTGAGGCAGTCGTAGATGATGTCTTTGCTGAGGAGGAAGAACGCGAAGTGATAGAACCATTCGGCGATTGGACCGACGTTCGAGTTCAGCTTGATCTGATTGAGAGCAACCTGCCTCACCTCCCTCTCGTTCGACACCAAGGCAAAAGACATCGCCTTGAAGTAATCCCTCAGCAGTCTCTCCATGTCCATCGTCCACATCCGACACATGTCCACTTTGGCTGGCTGAATGAAGACCTCTCGTCTCAACGCCAGATCCATCACGTTTACAGGATTATCCTAATAAACAAATCATTAACATAGTTATGAGCGTTTTCCAAAGAATCTTACATCCATGTAGTACAACTTCTGATCGGGCAAAGCCCGATAATTCGGAAAACTCGAAGCCCCGAGCACCGGATCGATGTTGAAATCTTGGAAGCTCGCGCTGACATCACTCGATTCAATATAATTCCTGCCCATAATTCGCGCCTTCGTCAAAGCATTCTAACAAAACGAAACATAAAATCCATTATTTAAAACGAAATCATCAACAAACATCATCATCATACATGTATCACACTTCTCAGTTTGTAGCTCAAATCTTCAGCGAATCCAAAGCACAGCTCCTCAGACAACTGCTCAAAGGATGATTGTTCAGCGTAGATCACAATCGAATCCGGCCCCAAACCCGAGTACTGTTGTCCAATGTGTTCCTGCATTTCGAAAATATCCAATTAGTAAATACATCTAGCAATCATCCAATTCACTTGTAACATACAAGGCCCGTTTGATCCATCTCCGATTCCGACTGTCCATCCTGCGTAGAATTCTGAGACTTTTTCTTCGCCATCCGCCGTTTCGCGGTCAACGCGCTTGGATTGGGCGCGTTCTTCGCGTTTCCCCTCATCTTCGACGATTGTAAACACAACTAATTAATCGAACTGCAAACTGACATTGTTAAGTGAGGTTAAGTTTGTTGTGACTTTTAGAGGTTTACTAACTTATCGAAGAGGGCGCTCACAAATAGATATCAGCAAAACAAACAAAATTTTCAAAACCCACTTGGATTATACAAAAAAAAATGTAGAAAAACTAACAACTGATATAATTAAAATTACAATAAATAATACATTTATTAACTCTTATAACGTGCTTTAAACTAGAGATAATTACACTTACAATATAGTAAAAAAAAAACTATATTTGTTTAAAATTCAGAATCTCAATACTTTATAACTTGTGTGGGAACATGGACTGTTTGTTTATGCAACTTCAGGAGACTCTTCAGGCGGAAAGATTTGAAACATTCTTGGCATTTGTAGGCATCTGCAAGTAATACGAGACGATCAGTAAACATCTCGTTAAAATTATATTTCTCCTCACTGTTCACTTGATGGACCATGGACAAGTGCATATCCAGAGATTCCCTGCTCTTGAATACCTTATCACACATCTTGCAATTCAGCTGAGCTTTATTCTCTGCAAAGAAAATGTTTACACAGGAGATGAGAGTCGGCAGCAAAAACAGCACTGGTCAAGGTATACTTGCGTGCTGGATTCTGTGCAGCTCCACAAGCGATTGATCTGACAGTCTGGCAGTGCAGAACTTGCAGTATCTGACTTTGAATTTTCTCGGTTTCGAATGATTCTCCTTTACATGCTTAATTAGATTTTCTTCACCGATGTACGATTTGCTGCAATGGTTGCATTTGAAGCAAGCCTTATCATCTGCAAAAGAACCCACAGTAAACATGAATGGTTTACTTTATTGGCTAGCAATTTATACTTGCGTGTGTCAGTATATGCTTGTCTAAATGAGATTGTTCTGAAAAATGAGCATTGCATGATATACATCCATAATATCTAGCCTTATCCATAAAAACATATTCTACATCTGGATTAACATAGGAGGGCTCGTCAAGTTTAAATTGTTCCTCCTTTATGAACAACTTTTCAGTTTCATATATCTCCTCTTGCAAGATCCCTTCATCTTCAACCTCCAACTTAACATCAATCAATTCTGCATTCTCAACTTTACACTCCATCGTGTAAACTTTGCTTTCAGCTAATTTGGATCAAGCGACAGTTAAAATATTTTTTGTTTTCAATGACAAATGTAAACATTAGCTTAAAAATAAACTAGAAATTTTAGGTTAACGTCAATATAAAAAAAAATGGAGTTGTATGGCCAACTTTGATATTGCAGCAGTTGGTATAGCTGTGTGAAAGTTTTAAATTTAAATTGAAGTTTTAATTTACGTTAGTTTCTATAATAAATTAGCATTTGCAATTAAATTTTACACTTAAATAAGTAATTAGGAATCCTCCAACTTAACATCAATCAATTCTGCATTCTCAAACTTTACACTCCATCATGTAAACTTTGCTTTCAGCTAATTTGGATCAAGCGACAGTTAAGATATTTTTTGTTTTCAGTGACGAATGTAAACATTAGCTTGAAAATAAACTATAAATTTTAGGTTAACGTCAATATAAAAAAAAATGAAGTCGTATGGCCAACTTTGATATTGCAGCAGTTGATACAGCTGTGTGAAAGTTTTAAATTTAAATTGAAGTTTTAATTTACGTTAGTTTCTATAATAAAATAGCATTTGTAATTAAATTTTACACTTAAATAAGTAATTAGGAAACCTCCAACTTAACATCAATCAATTCTGCAATCTCAACTTTACACTCCATAATGTAAACTTTGCTTTCAACTAATTTGGATCAAGCGACAGTTAAGATATTTTTTGTTTTCAGTGACGAATGTAAACATTACATTGAAAATAAACTATAAATTTTAGGTTAACGTCAATATAAAACAAAAATGGAGTCGTATGGCCAACCTTGATATTGCAGCAGTTTACGTTAGTTTCTATAATAAATTAGCATTTGTAATTAAATTTTAAACTTAAATAGGAAAAATAAAATAAACATTTGGTTAAAAATAAAACGATTAAACACCACGTATAATTGTAATAATAAACAGAGACATAAAAATAAATAAAATTTACAAAAAAAAAAATTATTAAATTAAAAAAAAACAATATAGAATTAACAACAATCATCGTTTCATCCGTCAAATGTTTTAATTTATTGTTTGCTTGGCAAGTTTCGGTATTTGCATTGTTACGTTTTGATGATTAGAACGAAAAAAGAAAAAAAAATAATAAATAATTTGGTCAAAAAAAGTCAGTATTACATATGTATGTATATATAATATTATATTTATACACGTTATTTGTCAATCACAGCCCCAGTCAATAAGAGAACAAAACAAAATAATAATAATAAACATAATAAATGAATTGCGAATAAAAAAGGACGACCGATTGTCATTAAGAAGAGCAAATATAAAAGATGCCTGCATCAAAGAGAGAAAACAATAATAGTAATAATATAAGAAGAAGAAACAACATTGTCGTGGTTACGTCGTAATGTATATAGTATATAAAATATGTCTAAACTCTATCACATCTTTTACTTTCTATGTAAATATTTATATATATATTTTTTTTAGGTAATAATATTAATAATAATTTTATATAAAATGTGTTTCTGTTTGTGTGTATGTACAAGGACAAGATTGTGTCGATGCTTTTCCTCCCCCAAACAAGAGAGTTTTTGTTTTTGTTTCGTATGCAGATTTACGTATTTTATATCCTTACCAGTAAACAAACAACAATTATTAGAATAGATAAACCTATGGAGAAAAAGTAATATTAAAATTGTGTTGTTGGTGTTGTTCTTAGCTTAGCGATTGCTCTTCAGCTTCCAGCGCAGGAAGAGGAAGGCGGCGATCCTGAGGACGAAGAAGATGACGACGAGGGCGACGATGTCGATCGTGTAATCGGAGTCGACCATGTCGAGTTCCTCGAGCGTGGTCATCGGTGATTTGAAGTGGCAATAGGGGACGGAACATTTCAACTTTGGCCTGTCGAAGGAGTAAGTTGCCAGCGCTGTACCTTCGAAGCCGTACCTGATGTACGAGAGGTACGTGATCCAGCGCAGGTATATGGGTATGGCGTCGAAGGAGACGAAGAAGCCGGAGAAGAGCAGGAACGGTACGGACATCACCGGCGCTAAGAACACGCCGTTCTATGAAGAAAACAAAATTGGTTATTTCTAATCCATTAAATGAAGTGTTGATGTTGACTCACTTGCACGTTCATTGCTGCACCGACGACGAGACCGACGCTCTGCGCGACGAACGACACTAGAAGGCAGGCGCCGAGGAACATCCCGAAACGGCTGTACTCCATCGGTTGCGACGTCATAAAGTACACTATCGTCACGTAGATGACGCAGAAGATCGTCTGGAAGGGCATGTCCGAGCAGGTGATGGCCAGGTAGTACGATCGCAGCGAGTACCATCGATTAAAGTTCTCCTTCAACAGTACGGGCATCTCCAGCGGGAACGAGAGGATCGTGATGGTCATAGAGGTGTACATGAGGAAGAGCATGTTGAAGAAGAGGAAACCCAAGTTGCTGAGCACTTTCGCTCCGTCGTTGCCGATGTCGTAGTAGAGGGCGCCGATCAGCAGACCGACGAGGATGTGCGCAAAGAGACGCAGGTACATCAAAGTCTGCGTGCGAAAAAGAAAAAAACGAATTAATTTATATAATGCAAATTAAACTTACAATTTCACTCACCCAATCTCTTTTGCTGAACAGCAACGCCCTTTTCAGCACGATGAAGAACTGATTGATCTCGGTGTTGCCGTACCGCGGTTGGATCACGTCATCCTTGTCCAGCAAAGACGAGGCGGCGTTATCGGCCTTTTCACCGTTGGCGTAATCATCTGAACAAAACAATCGATCAGTTTCCATAGAGAAATCAACAATTATTAACTACTTACATGTATTCTGTGGTTTCGCAATGTCGTTGTTCTTGACTAGAAGATTGGTGCTGGCCGCGGCGCCGTTGCTGAACTTCTCCTCGACGTTCTTCACGTCGTTAACATCTTTGGGTGGATCTGCGGTACCGTGCAAGACGGATCCGTTGTTGAGGACGTCCTGCTTGAATCCGATCTGATCCTGGTAGTTCCCTTCGCGGATGTCGTTCTTGCCGTTGTCGATGGCGTTCACCAGCTTCTTGGTGTTGTCTCCGTACTCGCCGCACGCCACCTCGATGATGAAGGAGGCCGGGTTATGGTACGAGGGACACTGCAGACCGACGTTGCCGAGGAACGGCACCAACTGCTTGGTGCTGCCCTGGTAAACGCACTGACCATCCGAAAGTGTGTACAGCTGATCGAACATCTCGAACAGTCTTGCTGAAGGTTGATGGATGGTGCAGATGATGGTGCGTCCGCCCTGCGCCAACGTCTTCAGCAGGGAAATGCACTGGTAACAGCTGGAACTGTCCAGACCGCTCGTAGGTTCGTCGAAGAACATCACCGGCGGATTGCTGACCAGCTCCAAGGCTATAGATAAACGCTTCTTCTGTCCACCCGACAGTCCGCTGGTCATCGTCCTCCTGTGTTCGGAGAGGCCGAGCGTGTCCAATATCTCGTCGATGATCTCCTCCCTTTCCTTCGGGTTCTTCTCGCCGATTTTCAGCTTTGCAGCCACGTCCATCGCCTCGTTCACCGTCAGATTACCGTGAAGCTGATTGTCTTGCATAATGTAAGCGGACAACTTCTTGAACCTGTTCAACTCTCTCTCACTGTCGTTCATAAGGATCGTTCCTTTCAATCCTTCAGTTCTGCAAACAAAATCATACATTTTACTGTAACAAGCCAACTCCAATTCTGAATATGTCAATCATTTATCTTTCAACAACTGTCAAGTTGACAGTTTGTTGAAAATTTTGTATAATTGAGTGACAAAGTTACAAAATATTATTTGTAAACTGACGAGAACATCAAGCGAAGTACATTTTTTTTGGTTTTCGAACGCATTCGCAAATGAATAATTCAATGTATTTCGAGCTGTTTCTTCACAATTTGGCATTGAATTTTGATGTAAGAAACGAGAAAAAAAAAACTTTGATTTCGAAATCAAAGTTCGAGTTAACGGGAAAAATTAATAGAATTAAATATGCAATTAACAATTATTACAAACAACGTTCGTTCTCGGCGATATATACTAAAAAAAAAACATGGGGACATCAAGTTTTTTTTTGTATTTGTATAAAATGAGAAAACAGGAAATGGATTAGAATCGTTCTATCCTTGAGCGCGAATTTCCATTGGTATCTTGTTGTTGTTAATCGCAAGTGAGATTTTAAGCAAATAAAAAAAAATATGAAGAAATTGTTAATGTACGTAAACATTCGTAATAATAACAACAAGGCTGAGAGTTCAAAAGTCATTTTTGACGGTTGCTATTTGGTAACTAAGGTAACAAGTGTATGGCAGATGCACTTATTGTTGTTGTTGTTGTTATTGGAGACGTGGATGGAAAGGTTGATTCGCGATCGAAGTTATTTTCGTAGAAGGAAAACCGGCCGCCGCTGCCGCCGCGCGATATCACGGGCCTCGGCGCATGCATCCACGTATATGAAAAACAGCCGGCCTTGATAAGTGCGACCTTTGCGGCCAGGTCAATCGGCGAAACCGAAAGACCAATGAACAACAAAAAAAATGAATCAATTAGAACGAGAGGCAGACAAAAAATAAAAAGCGCGAGCGAATGAATGATAAACTGATTCCGAACTTACTTGTATCCAGTGAGGATGTTGAGCAGGGTGGATTTTCCGGCTCCGGATGGACCCATGATGGCAGTCAATTCTCCGGATCTCAGGTGTCCGCTGACCGATTTCAAGATCACCTTGTCATCTGCAAAAGAAAACGTAAATTAAAAAATTGCAATAACAAACTTGACACATGTCAAAGGGATTTGTCAGAAGTTGAAATCTGTTTTTAATCAATTAAAACAACGTTAAAACAACGAAATCAAACAACATGTTTGTTTTTTTGTTATAGATGTAAAGTAAAGGATAGAATAAAGATTGCAAATGAAATAACATTTATTATTATTGACTGTAATTCGTTTAATCGAAGCAAGCTATAAATTAGTGACGTTTAGTCATCGATTCCATTGACACTTAAACGTCAGAAATGCGAAGGGTCACCTAATCAGTCCGGCTTCACGGAATGCTATTATATTGAAGCCTTACAAAGAGTCATTGACCGATTTAATACAATTACACCCGTGTCCCATTTATAGTTTAGCTCCCTGAACGTCCGTTTATTCTTTTCAAATTACACTTGAACCGCTTCCATCGGCGTAAATAAGTCTCTGAACACCTGTAAAAGTCGAACTTGATGGTTCACCTTGACGTGTCCACTCGGAATAATAATTACAATGTACGTGAAATCAGAAGTATCGTAATAAACCAGAAAGAACTAGGAGAGAAAATTAAAAACAACGAGTTGCTCCGATGATGTTGTGCAAACATGTGGAAATTTTGCGTTAATTCCATGAAATTTCTCTTTCCTTCTACCACCCAATCGCCGCTTCGTGTTTGCAAATTTTACATTCATATACAAATTATTTCCTCTCTCGTGACACAGGCGTTGCGCAATTATTATTATGTCTTTATTTGCTCATTTTTCCTACACGCGACAACTTCAATGTTGACTGCCATCTCCAATGATTTTGATGTACTCCACTTTCCCGAATTCTGATTGGACCATATTTCGCATCGCTGCCATATTGTCCTTCGCTATTGGTTGCATTTTGATAGTTTTTTTGTCTACGCTCGAGCTCGATTGGTGTTTTTTTTATTCCATAGTCATAAAAAAACAATTTATCGCAGTTTGCTTTGAATCCATTTTGTATACGTTTTTCAACAATTAATGTCATTAATGACAGCTTTGACAGGTGACTGTTAATTTTGACATATTTCATAAAAACAATCAACGATCTAGATCTAGTAATTAAATAAGGAAATAATCATATTTGGCCTAGATCGTTCATAATGATCTTTCATAAAAAAAAAATGAGTTAGGTTATGCTTAAGTTTAAGTGATCATACATTTAACAAACAATTTGACATGCATTTACTTAATAAAGTGTCGATTATTTCGAGATAACACTGATTTTTCTCCCGTCTTTGTGGTTCTATTTTCGTATTAATGTTCAATACAACACTTATATCGATTGCATTTCAATGCTATCTAATCGATATTCTAATATTATTCAATACCTACTGAGAACAAACAAAAAAAATTAAAACAAAAAAATACAGATTTCGTATCTAGGTTACGGCAAACAATTGACGTTAATATTCATTGAAGCAATGTAGGCTATGAACTGAAACTACTTGAAGATTTCTTTTAACAAATTAATAAATACATTATATTATCGTACACTGGCTTTGTTGTGAGAACAAAAAATGACTATTTATAGGTTACGTGATTAAAAGATATGTCCGAAAACAGAATGTGTTTGTTTCTCCCATGGTTACATCAACAACAACGAAAATTTAAAGCAAATACAAAATTGAAAGCGATCGAAGTGTATAATTGAAGAAGCACTTTGGTCCGTGCTCGACGATGATTAATTGCGCGTGGGATCTGGTGCGACCTCTTCTTCTATCATCTCTCTTTATCAACGGTAAACATGCATAATGTGCACTCGTTTCCACGCTGATAAAGACCTTCCGAACAATGAGTTCTAATGACTAACGATAATGATTTCAGCCAGTCCGGACTTCGATCTTTGAGCTTTTCCACACACACAAACACTCGACACATGTGTGCATCCATAATCCATTTTTCTCTTCCAACAAAAACCAACAAATTACGCTTCAAACACACAAAAAAAAAACAAACTAATAATCAATAGAAAACTATTGCATGTGATAATATAATGCATTGAAATTAAAACATATTATGCGTCAGCAGTATTAATACTCTGTAACCATAGTTACAACACGTTCTTTGATTCAATGCGGCAGAAATTATCTTTTAGTTTTTTTGTTTGTTTTTGTTTTAATAATTAAGAAAGTTTTTGTTTTGTATTTTTTCTGAACTGGGCTTCATGACGTTCGTAAATTCAAGTATTTCTGGTTTATTATCTATATCGCTCATTACATATTAATTTATTTTTAATTTTGTGAAGTCCTGATGAATTCCTCGCATTTTTAAGCAAAAACTTCATTACAAATACGGTGATGCGCGTACCTTCTTTATATGATCATGATATCATTGGATAATTCGGTAAGTGTCATTAGGTAATTTGACATCTGTCAGTGAAATATTTCCTTGTGACGCAATCTTGAGAATAGTGTTTTTTATTTTAGATTTTCAGTATTCTCGATAACTGCTCGATCATGGAATTATTGCTCGTCGCTTCCGGGACAGTTGGCAACAACGGCCGTGACCGTGCATGTATATTAACACGCTATTTCCACGGACTTTTAATTACGATGTATAAAATTACTTTAGCTTAATTATGGAACGAATTGCGTCAAATTAAATTCACAATTATAATTTGACATATGTCAAAATCGAAAACATACATTTAGTTGTCAAATTGACAAACGTCAATGTTGTCAATTGCTATTTGACATATGTCAAATTTGACAATTGCTTAATAAGGTCTTTGTTTCGTTTCTCTTTTTGTTTGTATTTCGTATACATTTGTGTTTCACTAAAGAAGTTTAGCACAAGTAATTAATTCCATTACTGCAATTGATATTAATCGAAGTCCATTGAAATTATATCAAATTATAAACGTAAATTAACGTTTTTATGGAGCAAATCAGAAACTTCAATAATTTTCGTATCGACTAGATTTGTGTCGCAATTGATATTTGCTATCTCTGGTAAATAGAACAACAACATTCATTAATCCCAGATAAATAATTATTTCGTACTCTTATCGATCCGCGTGAATGCGCTTTTTTACACTCTTTTTTTTGTTACTAACTTACAAAATTTCCACTTATGACTTAAGTTCAGATAACGTCTAGATTTTGTTTCAAAATGAAAAACAAATTTCACTTGTTTCCTCACCTGTCAAATGCACTTATCCCTTATATTTAGAAGAAAATAAATTTAGAAAAAAAACTAAATCAAAATAGGCATGAAACGAACAAAATTCAGACTTATTTCTGGTGATTCAATCAGACAAACAAATTATACAAAAAAAAAATAACATCTTTTTTTTTATGTTGCCGTTGTTGTCCGAGACTCTTGTTAATTGTCATGTTTTTGTGTTCTTATATAATTGTTGTCTTTCTTAATGGGATTTCGTCTGGCAGCGAAATTTATGGTATTGCGTTTCGCACGTTATGGTAAATTTTAATTAATTCCTCAAATCCAACTAAACACGCAAAGTTACGTAATTTACTCATTTCCACTCTCGACTAATGGATATGTGCAATTCATTATTGAGAAATCATAGATAATATACTTTTAATTGCAAAAAAAAAACAAACATAATTTAAGTTATCAAGTGAAATTATCAATTCAAACTTTTAAACTGACGTATGTCAAATGGAAGGAACTTCGGTCCTTGCGTAAACGTCATATTTTAATGCGAGAAACGTGCGACGTTTGATACAGATTTATTAAAGAAGAAAAAACACAATGACGTTTATACTAACTAACTGTCAATGAACGTTAGATTATGTCAAAAACAAGTTTTTAAGATAACCTTGATTTATAATTATTTTTTCGATTACTAAATTCAACAGAAAAAAAATACAAGAATTTTATATTTTTTGAATTTGATACGTTCATTTTCATTCATCGTTCATTAATTTTAATGTTTCCTTTTATTTTTAGATTTTATTGTTTCATTCATTCATGCAGCTGTCAAAATATACGTTGAATGAATCAGATGTTTGAATTTTGACATGTTGCACTTGTTTTAAGCTTGGTAAACGTCAACTTTGACAGTTGTCTTGTTTTAAATTGTGAGATCATATGTTTTATGGATCGGATTTAAACGTCAGTTGTTGAATTTCGAAATCGAACATTTGAATGAATCACGGCTAACATGACTCCAATAGATTTAAATTGGATAATGCGGAGAAGAGCCTTGCGACGCTTTTAGTGTGTTTCTATTTTCGCCGTTTCTAAATGCGTGGATTCCAAGTGAAACCCAAACGAAATCTCTTCTTCGGTCGGAGGATTTGCTTGTTTACCGCGTCGTCATGGCGATGATCACAAAAAGCGACGTTGCCAGAGAGGACAGGGGGGGCAGAGCGAGAGAGAGAGGAGCGGAAAGGGAAAGGTCGTGTGTACTTACTCTTGCCCTGTCGCACGGTGTAGGTCAGGTCACGGAAGGCCAGATCAACTTTGGGCCTCTTCGGGAGATGAGTGAGTGTCCTAGGTTGGGCAGGAACGATCTGCACCTTGACATCTCCTCCGGTCGAACTCCTGCTTTTCAACAGAAGATTCTCAGTCGCCATTTCGTCCGACTTCTCTGTGACTTTCATCCTAGCTTCTATTTTTATTTATGTAACTTTCGTTTTTTTGCGAACGCTATACTTTCTAATCCACCCTAATAACGGGCATCTCTCAACGAAAAATAAATTAAATAACAAAACGAAACTTTTGCGTCAAAAACTGTATTTTCCCCCCTTTGTTTTGCGTTTTTTTCTACGAGAGAGGCGCGACCGTACTCTCGAATGTCACTTTACGAACTGACTGCACGAATGACAACCGCCCCGCATGTGCTCCACTCCACCTCGATTGGTCCGCGGATTCGTGGTGGGGATAAAAACAAAATGATACGCGACCGCCAGAGGGCGCACCGACCGACCAATTCAAACGAGTTGAACGAAGCGAAGAACAAAATAAAAACGCAATTTTGTTTTCGCGTTTTTCGTGAAAAGAAAAAAACACGATTTCATGGAAATTATGTGTATTGCTTTCCATCACGCTCCAATTAAAAATACAACAGACACGCAAATTACCTTTGATTGCTTAACGATGCATCGTTTAAAGTGATTTAAAGTGGAAAACATTTTGATCGATTCGTGACATTATAATTTTTAAACTTATGACACTGGTCAATTTTGACATTGACATCCTTCGATCGTTAACAAAATGCAAAAAAACAAAAACAATACTAATTGTGTAATAAATCTCAATATATTCATTCTTATATTCGAAACATTTTATTTAGTTAATTCTAAATAATTAAGTAAACTTAATAAATAAATCAAATTCAATTATTCCCAATGAGTCAAATAATTTTGAATTATTAAAAATTTTCTTTATTAATTTTAAAATTATTTTTACAGCATTAAACTTTTAAATTTTAACAAAATTTCAAAAAAAAAATCTTTATCTGAAAACTTCAAGTTTGGTGAATTCACTGCGAATGTGTCATTATGATTGATTCGTGACATTATAATTTTTAAACTTATGACACTGGTCAATTTTGACATTGACATCTTTCGATCGTTAACAAAATGCAAACAAAAACAATACTACTTGTGTAATAAATCTCAATATATTCATTCATTATTTCTTATATTCGAAACATTTTATTTAGTTAATTCTAAATGATTAAGTAAACTTAATAAATAAATCAAATTTAATTATTCCCAAGGAGTCAAAAATATTCCTTTAAAAATTTGAATTATTAAAAATCTTGTTTATTAATTTTAAAATTATTTTTACAGCATTAAACTTTTAAATTTTAACAAAATTTCAAAAAAAAATCTTTATCTGAAAACTTCAAGTTTGGCGAATCCACTGCGAATGTGTCATTGTGATACGAGAATAAAAAACAAGATTTATGTAATAGTTAATTCATTATCGAGCAGGCCGAGCGAAGTTCGAAAATCCAAGTGATCGTATTACTTCATTTATTACATTTTTTTTGTGTGTTGCCCGAACAGTTGCGAATTGCACAATTGCCTCTGTATCTGAACACAGCACACGTTCGTATATGTGATTTTTTTTTATTTTAGATTTTTGGATTTCTTCTCTTATTGTGATTAGACGATAAAATCGTTTCTGTTATCGGCGGGATTCGAAAGGTCGCGGATTCCACGTTATCGTCGACCACTTGACTTGTGACATGGCGATGTAAAGTGCAAATTGCCTTCGTCCGCGCGCACACACACACACACTTTTTTCTCCCTCAATTATGCCAAGGTTGAGAGAAGACACACCAGATTTCACTTCAAAATCTCGTTACCAAAGACAACAATTTTCAGTTACTAAATTTACAATTTTCAGATCAAATTTTTGTATGATTTTCAAGAGGCTCTCACCTACTAGAAAAATAAGTATACATTTTTATGAACCATGCCAAGGTTGCTTTAGAGAAACCGCTTTTCACTCTCTCGCTGCTTTATATTAAAAAAAAATGTACATTTATATTAAAAACTAAACAATATCATTCAATGTTCGCTAGTAAACAAAACATAATAATTAAGAAATTATAAGTAACTGCAATTATTGTTTTTTTTTTATTAAGAAAACCGGATTGTGCAGTTTGTTATTTATGTAAATATACAAAAAGTGACCTTGACGCAGTTTTTTTTAAATATTTATGGTTTCGCTGTCTGCTAATTGATTTTTATTAAAATCGTTAGTTTTTTTTCTATTTTTAAATTGATCGTGAAATTAGCAAATGTCAAATTGACAACGATGAACAAATGCATATTAGATATGGTTGTTGTTTTCACTTTGACGTTTCAGATTGACAGTTGACGTGTTTCGGTTTAGAGCGAAATGTTTCAACTTAAATATTCTATTTAACTTTGACGTTAAGATTGACAGTTGACGTGTTACGGTTACAAGTTATATAAAGTACTTTGACGTTACGAAGACAGTTGACGTGTTTCGGATTGAAATGAAATGTTTCAACTTAAATATTCTATATAAAAGACTTTGACGTTAAGACTGACAGTTGACGTGTTACGGTTACAAGTTATATAAAGTACTTTGACTTACGACAGACAGTTGACGTGTTTCGGATTAGAATGAAATGTTTCAACTTAAATATTCTATATAAAAGACTTTGACGTTAAGATTGACAGTTGACGTGTTACGGTTAAAGTTATATAAAGTACTTTGACGTTACGACAGACAGTTGACGTGTTTCGGATTGAAATGAAATGTTTCAACTTAAATATTCTATATAAAAGACTTTGACGTTAAGACTGACAGTTGACGTGTTACGGTTAGAAGTTATATAAAACACTTTGACGTTACGACAGACAGTTGACGTGTTTCGGATTGAAATGAAATGTTTCAACTTAAATATTCTATATAAAAGACTTTGACGTTGAGATTGACAGTTGATGTGTTACGGTTAGAAGTTATATAAAACACTTTGACGTTACGACAGACAGTTGACGTGTTTTGGTTAGATGCGAAATGTTTCAATTCAAATGATCTGGATATTATATGAAAAAAGGTAAATTAACAAGTATTTTGATACTAAATTTGTCAATTTGCAGTTTGATTGATGAACAAATTTGTTTATAGTAAGTAAATAAGTTTTAAATCATAAAGAAAAATAATTTGACAGAATTGTCAATTGATTGATCGCGTGTTTTCTCCATGACTTTGACACTGATGACAGTGTTTTTGACATGTACAAATTGTTCGTTTTTAAGTGAAATATCATGTGCAGTATGCTCGACTGATGTATGGAATTTGACCCGCAAGGTAAATTAACAAGTAGCAATAAGTAAATAACCTTGTCTGAGAGAAAAAAAACCTGATTTTTGTACATTTGCGTCCGAGCGCAAACCGCGTTCGGCCATTTACAATTGTCGACTTTTCCTTTTCACCGAATCCCAACTAACGACTGCTTATTCCAAAAACTTTCTCTCGAACATTAAAGATATGAAAGTGAAATTATCATCAATATAATTGTTTTCTTGCAACATTTTCTATTTCGGTTTTTTTTTTTCGGTTGTTGTTTCCGAATTTTTTCAAAGATCTTTTACCTGTTGGTCATCTTCAGAAGTTTCCCTCGATCCATTTCACTTGTTTCGGATATCCAATGTTTCGTGATTTGCACCAAATATTCACAATTTGTTGATGTTGGTCGAACAGAAGCGACCCGTTCATTAGCGTCGAACGAGCGGAATTGGTGAAAGTGAGAGTTTCTTGCTGATGGCAAAACGAGCTCATTTTGCGTCTTGCCAGAACGTTGCTCTTATGTAACTGAAATCCCGCATGGAAAACAAATGCTTACTTGATTCTACCATTTTTAGCAGAACAAATGCAATTTGAAACAAAATCCAAAGCATTTTTTTGTTTGTCACAAATGTCAATTGTCAAGTATTATACAAACCAATTACTTATACAAATAAAAATTACTTCTTACTTCTAAATACAATTCTTATATAATTATATGCATTGTTCATCGAATTTAATTAATCATTGCATGTTTAATTAAGTTGGTAGGATTTGACATATGTCAAATATATTACTTCAAATGTCAAATGCTTTTGAAAATTCCAATTTAATATTATTCAATTGTACTAAATCTATATCTAAAACAAAAAACGTACTTTTCGCCCATTATATATTGATATAGATTAGACCTTAAATTACACAACTTGAAAGATAAATTTATTCGATTGATAATGTATTAATCAATACGCGATACATTATCAGTATAAAAATTACAGTCTAAAACTCACAATTGTATTAGTTAATCTAAAACATACACTTTGTAATTATGAAATTTAAAAAAAATATTATATGTTGAATGTGTTGCCTATAATAATCAAACAGTTTCTTTATTTATGATTAGTAATTATAATATGCAGATTATAAGAATTGTACTAAATTTAATGTACATATTTCAATAAATCATATATTTTTGCTTTTAAATACACTACAAAAATATTGATTTGGAATCTAAAAAACGTATATAATATTTGAAAACATGTATTTGAAGTTGCATATATTATAATATATTAAGATGTGAACACACTACCGTTTATCACTTAACATGGAAGCTTTATTTAGGAAATTTGAGATGTGAATGTTAGAATACAAAAGGATATATTTCAAGCATGTGGAATCTGCAAAAACTTTCTTTGTATAATTTTCATAATTTACAACACTGATTATATGTGTATATACAATAAATTTATGTTGCTTAAATTTATAAAACTATGTTTTTTCTTATTTAATTGCGTTTTAAAACAAGAAAAATCATGGGTTTTAATTCATTATTAATATTTCAGCAATTCAGTACTTAATTGAAAATAGAGTTGTCTATATGTTCAAATACGAAAAAACTACAAAATGGCGAATTCAAATTTAAAGCCTCGTTAAGTTACTTTGTATTTCTTATTAGGAATGTCTACAGTTTATTATTTAAAGTACTTCTATTCTATTTGCACAGTATTCGCTTATTAATTATAAAAGTATTTTAAGTACGCAGGTGGTTGTTGTAATTTCAAATTCCCGCAAAAACGTCGTTTCCAAGCAACAAAATTGTATTCTTTCATCTTAAATCTTTCTCGAGACAAATCAATTACAAACATCTGCACTCGTCGTCATGGGAATTGCATTTGGATAGAACAGACGACTGTTTGGAAAACAATGGACCGATACGATACGCGGAGAGAGGAAATTATCTTAATTGGATTCCAGAATGGAAATAATAATTGCAGTTTATTAAATACGTCCTTATTTATGAATAATTTTCTATAATAAATGAAATAACTTGAAATATTTTTTTTAGTTTTCATTTAATTTGTGTCAACAATTTCATGCATAAATTTCTAATAGACTCAATTAAAAATTTGCATACTAAAATAGTTTTTATATGGAATAAATTATATTTTTATGTATTAGAGTGACAGTTAAAGTTATGTGTTTCATTTACTGTCAAATTTGACGTTTCGAAAATGTTATCATTATAATGGGAATAGATACAAAAAAAAACAATATTTACGTATCCATTTGAAAATTATGATTTTATAATTACTTTTATTACTATAAAAGTGTAGATAAAAATTGTTATTAAATAAATAAGTTTATGTGAATTTGGGTGACAGTTAAGGTTATTTACTGTCAAATTTGCGTTTCGAAAATGTTATCATTATAATGGGAATAGATACAAAAAAAAAACAATATTTACGTATCAATTTGAAAATTATGATTTTATAATTACTTTTTTTACTATAAAAGTGTAGATAAAAATTGTTATTAAATAAATAAGTTTATGTGAATTTGGGTGACAGTTAAAGTTATTTACTGTCAAATTTGACGTTTCGAAAATGTTATCATTATAATGGGAATAGATACAAAAAAAAACAATATTTACGTATCAATTTGAAAATTATGATTTTATAATTACTTTTACTACTATAAAAATGTAGATAAAAATTGTTATTAAATAAATAAGTTTATGTGAATTGGGGTGACAGTTAAGGTTATTTACTGTCAAATTTGACGTTTCGAAAATGTTGCCATTATAATGTGAATAGTTGTGAAAGAAATACAATCTTTCTGTTCTAGTTTCGAAGTTATTAGTGCAAATAACTTTGAAAATGATGAATTTATTACTGTGTTGATTTAAACTATTAGTTGTGTTTAATGGTTGTTGGATGTGAGAAGAGCAGCTCTACATTTGTGTCGTTGATACATATGCAAGTGAGAGGAAGTTTCGAAAGGAGAAGTTGTGAAAATAAGGATAATTCCGGGTCGTACCGATGATCAAGGTTGCATACGATGTATGCAGATAATGCGAAAAGTAAGTGAGTAATTACCGTTCACGCGCTACTTACCACGAGCGTTCTTCTGATCCAGAGTTCAAAGTCGATGAAGAAGAAGGAGAAGAACAAGAGCGCGTAGGAACGTTATTAATCCGTGGAATGAAAAATATGCTCGATTGCATGTTAAAATTTTAGAAAGCTTAATTACAATCCGCACTCTTTAGAGACCATCCGTCCATTCCGAACGGACTCTATTTACTCTAATAATTTTCAATTACAATGCACGCTCTCATTCAGAGCAAATTTACAATATCAGATCGAGAATTAACATTCGTTTCATTATATTGGCAACATTTTCGAAACGTCAAATTTGACTTTAAATGAAACACATAACCGTAACCGTAACTGTCACTGTCACATTATTTAATAACAATTTTACCAACTTAATTGACGATGATTTGGTTTAAGGTGCAAAAGAAAACTGATTGAAGTTTAAATAAAACATTTAATATAAAAAAAACAAAACTAAATTACTGACTAATTATTACATGTATATAACAATTAAGTTAAAAAACGCGAAGCAATAAATATTTATGCGAGATAACAACGAAAGCGCGGCTACTCTTCCTCTTCTTCGGTATAATTCTATTAATATATTTTTGTTGTTTTTATTAATTCTAAATTTAGTAGTGAACCCTTCTGTTTCTGATGTAGTAGTTGGCAAAGGGCGGCGGTTTCAAATCGCGCTCCATCCCGAAATGTCGGACAACGCGTTTGGGCTGGATGCGGGCCTGCCTCAACCTCTCGTTCTTCTTCTGATTGCTACTGCTACTATTGTTGTTGTTGTTATTGCTGTTGCTCTTTTCGTATTCGTGTCTCATGAACTCGTTCTGCGGTTTCGCAAAGACTTTGTAGGTGGTGGGTTGAGGTTGACTGGCTTGACCCTCCTCCACGTTCTCGTTAACGGAATACATTTGGTGCTGCAGATTCTGATCGAAAACGGTGTACTTTTGCGAATCCCTTCCTGCTTCTTGCAGAAGATTGTTGAACTGTTGCGGGTTCAGCTGCTGCTTGTGGTGTTGTTCTTTGATCTGCTTACCCATCTCCTTGATCAAGGTGGTATCGAAATGGATGGGGATTTGCTGTGAGCTGATCGAGTTCAACACTTTGTTGCCGGTGGTCAAGATCGGATCTCGCAATAAGCTTGTGTCGAGCGCGAATTTGGGTTTCTTCAGCTCGTAAACGGAAACATCTAACTTGGGTTTCTTCGCCTCGACGAGTCCAGAGAACGGGGTGAAATCTAACTTTGGTTTTTTACTCTCCAAAGCGGAGTAAGTAATTCCTTGAGCGCTCAAGTCCAATTTAGTTTTTTTCGATGGGAAGTTGATGTGAGTAGGTTGTTGCGAGTTGATTTCCACGGCGTTGCTGTAATCGAAACCGACGCTCTTACCGAGAGCCCTTTCGTGATCGAAGTTCTTGTAATTGACCGGTTGAAATTTGTTCACGTCGATCTCCTTGCTCCTGTAAATCTCCACCGTCGGACTCAGATTCTTCCAGTTCGGTTTTGGGCTGTAGTAAACCAACGGATTCTGCTCGGGTCTTTGATCGTAACTGGCAGCAAACGGATTCTTCACCTCCTCCTTGTGACTGCCGGTGATCACGTCCGGTTCGTAGATCTGCTGCGGTTTCCTCTTTCTATCGTTGCCGAATTTCACGCTGTAGCCAACGTTGAAGGATTGCGACTGCTGCTGCGGATAGTTCAAGAAAGTGTGCTTCTGCGCCGGAAATTTCGTCGTCTGGAACGATGCCTGCTTGTAGTCTTGGACGCTCTTCGGCGTCGTGTACTGGTAGACTGACGGTTTCAGATGGGTGTCTTCGGAGATCGAAGGGTTCGGACCTGTGCCCAGTTTGAAGTCGATGGTGCTTTGAGCGTGTTGATCCGGGTATCTGCTGTCCTTGTGGATGATGCTCGTCGAGTAGCTTACGCCGCTTCTTCGATTCTTGCTCTCCAAAAGTGGAATCTTGTTGCCCAAATACGAGTTGGCGGCGGATGCGAACGCCACCAGCAACACCAACGTCAAATTCTGAAAATTTCAAAACTCTAATGTCAAAATTACGTCATTGATCACGTCAAATCAGTTCCATAACTTAATCTTAAATCTTATTTCATACGTGATACATCAAACTCCAGAATCAAGAACAAGTCAAAGTGACAATCGTTGACAATCAATGTCAAACTCACTTTTCACGTGTCAAAATTACGTCCTCGGTCTTGTCAAAACAGATGTCCAATCAGAAACTGTCAAAATAATTTTACAGTTCGTTTATTAACAAAATGAAATACAATAAGCAAGCTCCGCAATTAAGAACTGTCAAAGTGACAAATTGATATCAAGCAACATTTGTTTATTCTGTTGTCGTTCTATAAAAGTAGCAACAACATAAAAATGATGTGATATGAAACATATTTAGTTTGTACAGTTAAAATGTTTGTTAAATTATTGAAGAAACTATGAATACTTACATGAATCTTCATCGTGTGCTGTAAATCACTAAACTGTTTCTCCTGGTTTATTTTATTTTTATATATATATATAAAAAAAAGAAATGTCCAAGCACTTTGGTGTCTTATTGTTTTACGTTGGTTTCAGTTAACGGCACTTTTCCAAATCCGAATCTAAGGATTGTAGATTTATTTATTTTTTGGAAATTTTCTAATTTCTGAGATTCGCAGTCGGCAAAAAGCTGTCGACGAGTAATTGCTCGTGCATAGAAACACCTGTCTTATATATAGAAGAGCGCCTTAGATTTTCCTCTTCATCCCCCCCTCTTCTTATCCATCTAACTCGGAACCACGCATTCTCTGATCCTCTTCGCTTTTCGCTCTTGTTCACTCCTCTTCTTCTTCTTCTTCTTTGCTTTAGAGCGCGACCTCCTGGAAAAACTGCTGGATTTCGATTAACGAACAATTAACATAAAACCTCGAACACGACCGCTCGAATTCGCCCAACGCCAACTTTCTTCTGCGACAAAATGCGCGAATGCAACAAAATCTAAATCGGTTTTTGCGTTTTTTTAACCGAACCCGATCATTTCAAATCCAATTAATTTCGTTGCGTGCAATTAATACCTGACCGCACACACACACACACACTTATACACACGCAGAGTCGGTTTTTAACCTTAATTAACCAATTAGTCAATATAGAGCGCGCCGCGCATTTGCATTTATTCCATCCATCTGCCAGCAGATTCTTGCATATGCATTCGAACTCTTAGAAAATATACCGATATTACGCTAACTTTTAATTTGACTCACTTACATTTAATCTCTTCAATTTTTTATTTAAATGTGATATATAAATCTATATTGCTCGAATTCACAAATCATTTGAAATGTTTGATTTATGAATTCAAACTATGAATTTGTATGAGAAAACAAGATCTGTCATGATGACAGATTAAACTTGACATTAGATTGACATAATAAATTAAAACAAAAGACGCAACAACAATGGAAGAAATGTTTAGCTCTGTAAGCTGTCAAATTTGACGTATTTGGAATTAATCATGAGAATAAAATAGAAGATGTTTCAAATGTGACAATTAATCATGATATATTTAGACAGAAGACAATTTTTTGTGCAAGATAAGAGGAATGCAGTTATTTTTAAAATCCAATTCATTTATTATTAAAAATCAAATTACGAACTGTCAAATTTGACATTGATTAAAAGAATAAAACAGAGACGTAATAAATGTATACTTTTATTATATTCAAAATAAAATTCATATTTATTAAACAAATTGAAATCTATCAAATTTGACATTTATCATAACAAAAAAATGTATCAATCTTAAATATGACAATTCAAAAAGAAAAACAAATTGAGAAATGTCAAATTTGACATTGATTAAAAGAATAAAACAGAAACGTAAAAATGTATACTTTTATTATTTTCAAAATAAAATTCATATTTATTAAACAAATTGAGATCTATCAAATTTGAAATTTATCACGATCAATCTTAAATATGACAATTCAAAAAGAAAAACAAATTGAGAACTGTCAATTTTGACATTGATTAAGAGAATAAAACATAAAACGTAAAAATGTATATTTTTATTATTTTAAAAATAAAATTTGACATTTATCACGAGAATATATAACAAAAAATGTATCAATCTTAAATATGACAATTCATATTTATTCAAAAAGAAAATCAAATTGCGAACTGTCAAATTTGACATTGATTAAAAGAATAAAACAGAAAAGTAAAAATGTATACTTTTATTAGTTTCAAAATAAAATTCATATTTATTAAAGAAATTGACGTCTATCAAATTTGACATTTATCACGATCAATCTTAAATATGACAATTCAAAAAGAAAACCAAATTGAGAACTGTCAAATTTGACACTGATTAAAAGAATAAAACAGAAAACGTTAAAATGTATACTTTTATTATTTTCAATATAAAATTTGACATTTATCACGAGAATATATAACAAAAAATGTATCAATCTTAAATATGACAATTCAAAAAGAAAATCAAATTGCGAACTGTCAAATTTGACATTGATTTAAAGAATAAAACAGAAAACGTAAAAATGTATATTTTTATTAGTTTCAAAATAAAATTCATATTTATTAAACAAATTGATATCTATCAAATTTGACATTTATCACGAGAATATATAACAAATAAATGTATCAATCTTAAATATGACAATTCAAGAAGAAAAACAAATTGAGAACTGTCAAATTTGACATTGATTAAGAGAATAAAACAGAAAGCGTTAAAATGTATACTTTTATTATTTTCAAAATAAAATTCATATTTATTCATATTATCACGATCAATCTTAAATATGACAATTCAATAAGAAAAACAAATTGAGACTGTCAAATTTGACAATGTTTTAACCTTAATTATGACAGTTAATTTAAACAAACGGCAAATAATGTTTAATGTGAACTTTGACATTAATGTTGGAAATAATAACCACTTCTTTCTTTTTGTTGTAACTTGTTTGGAATTCAATTATATTTTTGATTTATAACGATTTGTTTTTAATTTTTCGGAAACAGCTCGATGCGAAAACAACAAAAGAGGGGCACAATTACCGTTCAGCAATTACGCTCGGCCATCTGCGATGATTTGTAAAGTGAAATTTTCGCCGGAGATGAGTGAAAGACGGAGAGGTAAAATTATCCCCGGCGTTATTCATTTGTTGCATGTTTCTTTCTTTGCCTTCTTGCAATTACGCTTACTTCTTGCATGTTTTCCCAAGCCCGGTAAAAGTACAGTGCAGAAAACGAACATCGACTCTACATTTTCTACAGCATTTTTCCGCCCCCTTTTACCCTCCCCCCCCCCTAACATCACTAAATGCAATGCAACGACAGAAAGTAATAGACATAGATAGAGAATTGATAAAAAAAAAAGCATATGAAATAAATATAGTTAGATATGAATGTATGTATGCATGTATGGAAACAGTTTATTGACATACTCTTAACATGCACCGCTCGCTCGATTTTCTCGTTACTTGTTTCCTTTTTCAAAATATCTTTGGAATAGAAATTCTTATAATAAAAGTAAAAGCGGACGCGAGAACACACACACACGCATAAATTCAAGCGTACACACTCTTGCTTGCAATCACAATCGAAGCTCCAGATAATTCTTCATCACTTAACAACTTCACCAGGCAAATCAATTTCACTGAATCAATATATACTTAGTATATTTATTAGATTTATTTATAGAGTTTTCTTGCATTTCACTATTAAATTAGAAATAATGAATCGTTAACCGTTAAAGCTCCAAAAGATGCATATTAACAGTTACGTTTTAGCGATTTTCTCAGAAACTACAATAGATAGAATGGATTGAAAAGATGCATTTGAAAGTTGAATATTTGGGGAAGTTAGCTAGTATTCAAATATTGCTATGGTTTTGTCCATTTGGCTGTAATTCACATTCAAAATTAATGTAATAATAATTAACGCTCGAAAAAGCAGTGTTTTCACATTTCAGTGATTTTCCCAAAAACTACAATAGATAGAATGGATTGAAAAGATGCATTTGAAAGTTGAATATTTGGGGAAGATAGCTAGTATTCAAATATTACTATGGTTTTGTCCATTTGGCTGTAATTCACATTCAAAATTAAAGTAATGATAATTAACGTTCGAAAAAGCAGTGTCTTCACATTTTAGTTTTTTTTTCTAAAACTACAGTAGATAGAATGGATTAGAAAGATGCATTTGAAAGTTGAATATTTGGGGAAGGTAGCCAGTATTCAAATATTGCTACGGTTTTGTCCATTTGGCTGTAATTCACATTCAAAATTAATGTAATGATAATTAACGTTCGAAAAAGCAGTGTCTTCACATTTTAGTGATTTTCTCAGAAACTATATTAGATAGAGTGCAGAAAAGTCAACGAAAACGAGAATATTTCTGAAGCTTATGATTTTCATCATTTGTAGAAAATTGGAAACGCGGAAACCTTAAGGAAGTATTAATTACGGTGCTCGCGTTTCGTTCGACAATTTACACAATGCCCGCATTCGTAACAATATTTAAAATACCTGAAATGGAAACACGCCGTCGCGTGAATACAATGAGAAGAAGAAAATGAAGACACCGAAGGCAACAATAATGAAGAGTAAACAAGAGCGACATAATATCTTCTCCGTTCTTTTCATTATATAAAGATGTAGTGTAATGAGCATAAACATACAATTAAACATTATGTCTTAATTGCTTTGCACTTTACGCAACGACGAAAATGTGAAATTCATTACCAACAACAACAACAAAAAACGTAATTTCTATATTACTAAACTCTAGTTTATCAAAATGAAACAAATTTAAATAGATTTACTGTAATGTATCGCATAGTGCGGTTTTGATTCACTATATAGTACAAATTTTTAATTGAGAAAAATAAATTTACGAAAAAATTAGTACAATAAATTCAAGTCAAGTCTCTTTAGTCCGGCTTCAAACAGTGTGGGATTTACATATTTTAAACAGAGTCGAACCGAAAACCGTAAACCGGAATTTTTAACTGTAACCGGAACGAAAAATTGCTCAATTGAAAAATTACCTGCGAATTCGCGTTTGAAAAAACTGACAAAAAAAACGAGAAAAACGTCGTTTCTCTGTTACGTATAAAACGTTAAGTATGTGTTTTTTTTTTCAATTTCAACAGCTCATAGAAGTCGACTCGATAATAGCACTAAGATGTATGTAAGCTTGTTGGAAAGGCGAAATATTCAGCTTCCATACGAGTAGTCGATGATGTAATTAACTTAAGGGGTTGTCGAGAAATTCACGAAAAACTGACCTCTAACCTAACCTAACCTCAAACTTAACGTCAAACTTAACCTCAAACCTAACCGCAAACCTAGCCTCAAACCTAACCTCAAACTTAACCTAACGATATTTTCATTATTTTTAAAACCCATGTAAATATTTTTAAGAAAATCATATTCACTTTTTTTACAATTTCTACAACTCATAGCAGGCGACTCGATGACAACTCGAAGATGTGTGTAGGCTC